GCTCTTCTCGAAAGCGCTTGGCTTGTGCCGCAAGGGACTGTTGTCGTCGCTTGAGCTTCCTTCCTGCCGCTGCCGGGCCCGAGTTTTCCCTATTTTAAGTTCACTTAGACGTTTCTCTTGGTTTTCCTTCTTGTGCTTCCTTCCGACACCACTGCGACGAGATGGAGAACGGCGCGCCACAGAGAGGACGAGGGGGGCCAGTGCGCGTTACCAAGACTCCCGATGGCCGAACGGTGCAGAGTTTCCGCTCGCATCCCATCTACGGCTTTGTAAGTACCACATGGCGGCCTCCTTTCGCGGGAGACCCCAACCCCCTCGTACTCCCAACCCCTGACTCATAGGAGGAACGAATCCGTTTCCAGAAGACGGGATTTACGAGTCGAGATTCCCCTTCGTGCATATTGGATGCTCGCTTCGGCAGTTCATTGGCCGTGGGCGGCGCTCGCTCGCCCTTTAAACCCGCATTTACCCCTCCTTCAGACCTCCTTCGAGCAATTACTATAGCTTTGTGAAGAGTAGAGCTCCCTCGAGCTTATACTTGCGTAGAAACAGCAGAAGGCAAGCCATGCTGCCCTTGCGGTGCCAGGCGGGTTGCCACTTCGTCATTTATCGACAGCCGACTCCTACGGCGCTGTCAATTTCGGAAAAAAAATGAAATGTTGAAAGTATTGTTTGTTTCTTTATTTTTTTTATGGCGTTGGGTGCATGGGATAGGTACAAAATGCTATTGGTAAAGTTTGTTTTCAGGGAATGTATTTAGTTCGGCAAGCATGGAGGAGGCAAGTTTTGTGACACGGCATTCTTTACTCTGAAAGATCGCGTTTCAGTGCATTTGATGGGCCCATTGTATAAGGAATAGTTGCTCTTTAGGGCAGTTAGTTCAGAATCCATTTAAAAGGTTATGCAGCATGTAACAGCCAGGCCCTTCTGACACAAAACAAAGGTTTCTTTGTGTTTTGTTATGAACAAATTTTTGGGAAGAGTTCTGTATCTAAAAATAATTTGGATTTGTTACTGATTTTGGTGTAGATGTCGAGTGCTCATTTACAGCATTTTGGTTGTGGCTAGACAAGAGTAGCAGCGTGATATACTTGACGTTATAGACCCTATAGGTGGTGGTGCATCCCAGACCCCTGAAATGCGCAATCTTCACAACACCTGGCCTGGGTTTACCCAAGACAGAGCCAAGGTTTGGATGGTGCTCCTGTGCAAATGAGGTCACGGCATTGGCTTCATAAGGAGGAAGACTCAGACTTCTCACTTCCGAGTTGTGCATAGTGCAGGAGTTCTCGGCTAGGTAATTTTCTATATTACGTCCGCATAACCGATATCGACGATTTTGGTATCGTTGGATTCCTCTCACTCTCCACATTGCAAATATATAGTTTTTATTGCGCGGAAACCCCCTATAGCGATAAACTTGGCCCCGATAAGTAGGGGAGGGCATGGGAGGTTCCAGGGAAAATGCGGGGTTAAATAGCACTAATAATATAATGCAGTGAAAATAACCATGGTTATTCACATAACTTTCCATTGCAGGGGGCTGTACCCCTGTGACCCCCTGGGAGGGGCTACCGCCCCCAACCCCGCCGAGGAAACAAAACCTCCACCATATATTCCCGGCAGGCTAGAGTGTTACAAAATTATCGTCGATCTCGGAGCGGTGGATGTATTACATTTACCTCGTAACATTCCCACTGAATCAGCATACTAACCTTGACATAGTCAGCATTGTATACAGAGATGATTGTAGTATAATCAGGATGAACAAGGTATACCATGAACAGAAGAGCGGCGGTGACCCACCCTTGTCGGGTTGGCGGGTTTGCTCCTCTTTCAATGCATCTAGTTCGTGTGCGCTCTATCCTGCCGTGAGTACGTGGTGGAGGTTTTGTTTCCTCGGCGGGGGTTGGAGGGCAGCAGCCCCCCCCCTCCCCCCAGGGGGGTCACAGGGGGCACAGCCCCTACAATGGGAAGTCATGTGAATAACCATGATTATTTTCACTGTGTAATTTTATATATTACGTGCGCCGCTCCGACATCGTCGCCCCCGCTATTGGGGCCAAGTTTGTCGCTAACTGGTTTCCGCGCTGTAAAACCTACATATTTGCATTGTATAGAGTGAGAGGAATCCAACGATACCAAAATCGTCGATATCGGTTATGCGGACGTGATATAGAAAATTACCCTCGGCTATCCACAGTGTGTGCTTTTATTGATACTGCTAAGTAATGTGGGTATTATTTGTTAGCAAATCAATTGAAGTCTGTTGTATTGAATTAAATAGTTATTTTGCAATGGAAATCTATTCTAGAAGTGAGCCAACTTGTCTGAATGATTTTGGAAACCCACAAGTTTAATTGGTGTAGTTTGCTGCCCACAGCTATGCAGTACAAGGTAAAGTTAACCGTGGTAATTCATTGCAGTATGGACACACTCGCCAGAGACCGTCTCCAACACCACTTTAAAAAATTATTCATCAATCTAAGTTGTCGTAAGTAGGCGTGCCCTTTGGGCACTGCTTGAGCAGAGGGTTGATGGAGGGCTCTGCCTCCAACAACCCCAGGAAACATGGTCTTCACCTTGGTATGCACAGCAAGGTACAACTGAAACTCAGAAGAACTTAGTGAATTTAGTGAGTGATGCTTTCTGTGTTGTTTTCCTTTATTTTTGGCGTTACCGTTAGCGTCTGCAGATTATTTCTTGGGTATAGGTTACTTCTAGCAATGTGCGGATATAGTGTAACCTTCCCAGTTTGATATGATACCATCATGAGCCCCAAATGCCAAAAAAATTAAGAATAAAGCAATCCAGCCAGTAGAAAGAAGCAAACAAAAGTTTGGTGTTCCAGATATAAAGGTATTTGGTTTATAATAATATGGTGTAAATGTAGCTCTATCTAGGTGTACATACTGAAGTAGAGGGAATGTGTCCTGGGAGGCGTTGGGGGGGCTCTCCCCTTGGGCAGTGTCCGAAGGGCACGCCTAGTCACGCAACTTAAATTGTTAGATTAGGTTGGTTTATTCGTCAGTATGTATTTTTGGGAGGGGGGGTGGAACATGTGAATTCCTGTAGATTTTACCAAAAGGTGGGTTGAATTCCTATATAGTTATTTCAATTGTGTTGCATTGGCCTGTAGAATTTGAAAGATGGCAGGTACATCCTAGTTTCATTGGCCATTTTTAATTTTTTTGTGCTGGTTTTATGCATTTTTTTTCAGTTCTTGTTTAAACCTGTTTTACCCGGAAATTTCCCTGATGTACTTCATGCCCTCCCTGCTATCAGGACTATCAAATCAAGATGGTTGATGCATAAATGGTAAAAGAAGTAAAAACACCAAGAATCAATAAAATCATTAGATTTCCTGCAGATTTTTTTTACTTATTCTTTGGGAGGGAGCATCACTATTGGTAAAAACAATTATCATTTATTGTACCAACGACTAAGTTTTTTCTCTACAAAAATATCATATTCAGTTTGCCCTAACTTTGTTCATATTGTAAAGATTGAACTTGCTAGTAATGGAAAGAATGAATGAAAATAAGACCCCTTTCATCTATGGTACTGTCTTTGTAAGAAAGCTGTGCAACACTTAATACTTTGATATACATTTACAGGGAAAGATAAGGGTAGTTCAACAATTATAAAAGAAACTGCACTTACTAATTCACACTTTGTAAACACGGTTAATCATTAAAGTATGGGCACACAAAGGTAGAGGATATTGAAAATTATTTTCTTAGTAGAGAAAAAGAAGTTGCAGTTGATACAAGAAATAATTTGGAGACACGAATGATAACAAAACAAATAAAGGAGAGAGAATGCAGAAAGTGCCGCTGACAGCCTAAGTCCACTTGGTGCTCCTGAGTTTCAGCTCTATTTTGCCATGCATGAGAGCTGAAAACCATGTTTGCCGAGGGTGTTGGAAGACAGAGCCTCCCATCATCCTACCTCTTGTGCAATGGCCAAAGGGTACACCCAATCACGGCAATTTATTGTTGAATAAATTTTGGAGTTGGGGGACTTAGTCTCTGGTGAATGCGTCCATAGCCTATTGTAAAGAATTACGGTAAACACTATTGATGCATACTTTTATCGATTGCGAAGGAAAATAAGAGATTCATGCATATTACAATGTGGGTAATTGAAACAAGGAATGATATTGTCAATGGATGGCTTTGTAAAACTGAAAATAATAATGGTTAATTTTGTTCAAAAGCTGACACATGACTGATAATGAATATAGTGTTATGGATTACATTTGATGTATACTTTTGATAATTATTAGTACTGACTTAGAAAGATTTAGTATACAGTGATTGTTGAAGCCTCTTTATTATCCATCTGACTGAATTCCTCTGAAGCTCCACCAATATAATCCATATGATGACACTTCTAGACACCTTCATTGGTAAATGAGAAAGTGGATCAAGTTCATTATTGCGAGAATATGTGTTTTTGAGGTTTGCTTGCCCTTTGCCAGAGGTTCATAGGCATGGTATCTATGGTGGTCTGTTGATGGTGTGCTAGAACCTTGGTGTGGGGTACATTGATGGACATTGTACTGGTGCTTATAAATTATGACATAATGGCCTATTTAGAGGTTGGAGCTCTCTAGAAAGCAGCAACAGGCCATCCAGACACCCTAAATTAGATTTTTTTAAGTATTTCCTTTACCCATCGGTTTATTTACACTTGCCTAAGCATTGGGGTATTGTGTGAACCCAAAAATCCATACCTAACCTTTCCAACCTTCTATTTTTCCCCTAGCCAGGGGAGGCAAACCCCCTCTTCCTAGTAACTGCCTGTCATTTGCAGTTCTTGCCAAATTTTAAAACACTGGCAGTGTGAGGTGTTGTGGAGTTTGTTGAGTTTTGATATGAAGGCATTTTTGTCATTTTGCCCCAGCAGTTGTATCTGTGGTGTTTTGAGTCTTATTTCTTATCCTCTCTAAGATGGTAGTGTCCATTTCCCTCCATTTTGGTGTTGCTCTCGATAATATTAACTGTTTACTTTGATATTGCGTGACTTCAGTTCGGCCAATAGCATTGATATGGTTTCTGAAAACTAAGAAAGCATTATCTTGATACGAGTAATTGAGGTATTCTGGGAACAAAACCAAAGTAGTACCCAGAAAAGGAACAGATGGTGATCCTGTGGCTGAATTGCTGTTTTGTGAAAATATACCCAGGGAGGTTGACCATTGATAGAGCTCGTAGCAAAATGTTTGATGCATAGATTTAGAGATTTCAAGTAGCGTTTGAAGGCTTACCTGCATTTCACACAAATTATTCTTTGTGTAAGAGTGCTACTTGGCCTTTTCTTGTATTAGTTCTGCTTGTGGTTTGTTCTTAATACGGATCAAAACAATTTTGCAATAGATTTGTTGCCATTTTAAAATAAAAAGTTTTTAAGTTTATACCATGCTTTGAAATAACCCATTGGTGATGGTTATTTCAAAATAAGGCATCCAAGATGCTTGGTGATGCCTCATCATGTCTTGAGTCTATGTCCAAATTGCTGAGATAGTATCTTGTATGTTTGACTGTGAATGGGACAATTGCCCAGGCACAGAGTGGCTTGCACTAACATATGCCTGACCCCATCAAAATTTTACCCGTTCTTACTAGGCTCAGAAAGTTGGATGATTATTAGTGATAGGATTGCACAAAGATGTGCCCAAATAAAGAATACCATCTTGTAAAGGAACCAGAATAATGTTCACTCCTCTAGAAATTGATTGGCAAGAATAAAGGATAATAGTGCAATTAGATATAAAATGACTGGAACAAAGATTCAAATGCTGCCAACAAAATTCCATCATTTATATCTGGCAGAATAAAGTTTGTAGACCTACGAGGTAATTTTGAGTCCGAACTAGGTCAAGTCATCACTTGCCAAAAAATGTAAATGACATTTGTTACTTTTTGTGGGACTGGTGTTGGTATGCTCACTGTGATAGGTAGATGGAACAGCCATTGCTGATGGCTGATGACTAGTATATATAGAGCTTGGAAAGTTGCAAAGATGTAAAAAAAAAAAAAAAAAGGCATATGTGATAAGAGATATCACTGCAAATGGGAGGCAAGGAGTCTTTATAGTGGACATGAATGTTTTCTGTGCTCAGCCTACAAGCCACATACCTGGGAGAGTCACTGCTCAAGTAAGCCTAGTTCCTGGATTTTATTTCACATGTGGGTCCAATTGCACCCAGATCCAATGGGTTGATAAGGGCATGCAGTCAGGAATGGTGGCACTGCAAATATCAGTCATGTAAGAGTTTTACCGTATCCCCAATCCTGAGACTGATCACTGTCACTGAAAAATGTTAAAAGGTTCACAAAGTATGTAGCACTTCATAAATGTTATTTGTTAGTTCAAAAGTTTTTGGATTCACGAATGCTGGTTGGTGTTGAAAGCAAAGCTGGATTGTCTATCTATGAATGCTTAGGATATGGAAAACACCATATATTGAGTGACCTTTGGATTGTTCAGAATTTGGATTAATCTTTTAGAATACAGACATTTAACATGTAACACAGAAATAAGTGATGGAAAAGATTGCTAGTCCATATTAACATACTATAGTATGATATGATGGTATATTTGGTTATACATATGGGATCAAACTCTCCAGAATGGTATTTTGCTAACTTCTGGGCACTTGTTTTCTTAAATTTAGTGAAGTTTTTCAACACTATTCTGCTCATATCAGTTGTGTGGGAAAGACCATTTAGTAGTTATAAGATTTATAATCGCCAATTGCTATAATTACGATGTTCTTTACCTTGCAGGATAAAATCAAGGAAAAGGTGATGACAGAGCTGAACTGCCCACAAATGGAACTCCCCCCCTTGGATACCTCCGAGAAGAAGTTTAATGCCCAGAGTCGTTTGTTTGTCGGAAACCTACCAAGAGACATTCCCTATGAAGAACTCAAGGAATTGTTTTCTAAATATGGAGAACTTGGACAGGTGTACTTCAACAAGGATGGGGCATATGCTTTTATCAATTTTGTAAGTGAAGTGTTCTGTCTGCAACTTATTTGTGGCAGTAAAGTCTGTATTATTAAAGAATACCAATGATTATGATGATTGAAATTTAATATTTGAGTATGTTTTCCTTCCGCTAGGATTACAAGGCCAATGCAGAGAAAGCCAAAACAGAATTGCAAGGAAAGATGGTCAGGAACCGCCCAATGAAGATCCGCTATGCCTCGGTTACAACGGGTGTGAAAGTTAAAAATCTTACTCCATACGTGTCCAATGAACTGTTGCATAAGTCCTTCTCGGTCTTTGGAGAGGTAAGTGTTCTGGGGAATTGATCTGTATTTTTCCTTCAGATGACTCCAGGTGGTTGTCTTCATGAGTATCAAGAAAAGTCTGCTTCACAAGTAACCTGAAAAGTTGGTTGCAATTTAAGTCTTTGAATGAGAGAAAAATCATGTGTGTTATGGTTTCTTCAAAGGGATCGATGTTCTTAGTTGTCTCAAGATTTGTCCCTGTAACATATGGCATCTGTGGTTGCTTAACTTTTTGTTATATCTATGGTCAAGGCACAGGCTACGAGTTTTAGGGATTTGTAAGAAGGAAAACTTTTTAGTACGTCTTCACTTAGGCTTCGAGAAAACTTAATAGGGGAAAGTTCAATATTTTTTTAAAAAGTAGATACAATTACATTTTGATTTATGCCATAGTCATGCCTCTGAAAGTTTGTTTGTAGGAGGGAATGGAGTAGTTTCAAAGGTCAAGATATATCAGTATAGATTTATGTGTACGTAGTTTATTGTGCTTAGTTAGCTTTGAGTGAATATTTGGTTTAGCAAAAATGTAGTAATTTGCATAAACTTATTGGTTTCATTAAGTTTAGTAATAGTAATGTTGACTGAAGGGGAGGCAATATGAATAGGCTTGGTAGTTTCATACCTTTTTATAGCCATTTTCATGGGCAGCATGGGTGGACGAGTCTTGTGACAGCTTCCAGGGATCATTTTAAGACTGAGAAATATGCCATTTGATATACATGAGAGATAGATAAGATTGTTTAGGGGAAAGCAGAGAATTCTTTTGTTTTCTAGAAGTTTGGTAGTATTATGCTCTGTTTCTTTCAGATATATTTTGTAGCTATTCCCTTTTGTTATAATCCCAGGGTAAGTGGGTTAGTCTCTGATGGGAAGTGGCAAAATGGATTCTTTCTTTCTTTCTTTTTTTTTTTTTTTTTTTTCTTTCTTTCTTTCTTTCTTTCTTTCTTTCTTTCTTTCTTTCTTTTTTCTTTCTTTCTTTTCTTTCTTTCTTTCTTTTTCTTCTTTCTTTCTTTCTTTTCTCTCTCTCTCTCTCTCTTCTCTCTCTCTCTCTCTCTCTCTCTCTCTCTCTTTCTCTCTTTCTCTCTCTTCTCTCTCTTCTTTCTCTCTCTCTTTCTCTCTCTCTCTTCTCTCTCTTTCTTCTCTCTCTCTTTCTCTTTCTCTCTTCTTTCTCTTTCTCTCTCTCTTCTCTTTTCTCTCTTTCTCTTCTCTCTCTCTTTCTTCTTTCTCTCTCTCTTTCTCTTTTCTCTTTTCTCTCTTTCTCTCTCTCTCTCTTTCTCTCTCTCTCTCTCTCTCTCTCTCTCTCTCTCCTCTCTCTCTCTCTCTCTCTCTTCTCTCTCTCTCTCTCTCTCTCTCTCTCTCTCTCTCTCTCTCTCTCTCTCATCTCTCAAAAATGAGATAACCTATGGTTAGTTTGTTATCCAAACAATCAGTTCTTAAGTATAAAACTAATTTAAGCAAACATGAATTGCATACTATAACATTGGCATCATCTTTGAAGAATGACTAAATCAACTAAATGATATTTTAGGTTAGAATGCTAATGTGGATATTCAAGCTTATTTTTCTTGATTGCAAGTATACAAGGAATATTTAAGAAAAATATTTGTACCTGATAATTATCCACTCTTATTTGGCCAGAAATTTGCACAAATTAGTATTCTTGGTCTGTATCTGTTAAGGGTTTTGGAAATTTGGTCAGGCTGTGAAGTGTCAAAGCTGATGTTTGATGGCCTCGTGGAAAAATAATATGCAATGATCATTTAACTGCTGCTGTTTGTTAAAGCTATGCATGGAAGTGACTGGGATAAGTTGTTTATGCTATAGTGGGAGGAATTTCACACTAATTGAAATAACACCAGTGGACTGTATATAAGGGAGTGGTCAGCTGAGATGAATTTCCTGTATGTACTGTAAATGTGGCTGATGTTTGTTGTCTAGCTCCCAAATACTTGCCTGACCTTTTTCTTTTCCAATCCTCTACGTCTCCTTGTAAACTTCCGTTGTTTAGATGAATGGATAGTTTCAGCAGTATAGAAATTAGTGAATCCTATTCCCATTTTTGTCATTAAGGGGTTCACATTTTGATGTAATTATTATTTTGCTGTGACGTGGATATGTACATGTGTAATAGATGCAAATGGGAGATGGTTTTGTTAAGAGGAATTTATATAGACATATATGTATATATAAATATAAATATATGTATATAGATATGTGTATGCATATACATATATGTATGTTTGTATATATGTATATATATTTATTGTTTGTTATTCAAGGTCCGATAATTTTGACTTGTATTTGGGAGAATTTCACCTGAGGCAGATAGAGAGGCCATAATATGCAGGAGTGGTAATTCAGAATAAAGGAATGGGTCTAAAGAAAGCTTTACTCAGCTCTACATGGCATTTTTAATCCTTCTTTGCCAAAATGCTGACAAGAAACTCCTTGTAACTTCAGTAACAAGGGTTGAACCTGCAAGCTTACATGCACGTCGGGTGGAGGAGCACTGGAAACCATTACATAGCCACCACCACTGCTAAGGGAGGGGAGAACCTATTCACATCTAAATCATTTTTCATAGTCTTATCTTTGTCCGAAGTAAAGAGATGTCGTTACAGATGCTTAGTAGTGATGGTACTTAAATTCAACGTCGATCATTAAATGAAAATTCAGAAAAAGTGTGAAAACAATGGATAGTTCTGCGAAAAGAAAAAGAAACCTTCTGTGAAGAAGAAAAAGAAACGGAGTTGAATGACATTGATGACTAAACATTTTAACGTTAAAGGGAAAACTAACCCCATTAAAGCTTTTACCAGCCTGGCAGTCGCCCTCCTTCAGACAGCTTAACATTAGAAGGCATCCTCAACAGATGTGTTTTAAGCATAAATGAAAGTAGTTCTTGTTTGATACATGATGGAGAAGAAAATTGACATTTTATTTTCTTATTTTTTATGAAAATGGTTGTGGATATGGCATAAATCAAGAGTGTGTATCTTTTTTTATATATATATTGCTTGTCCTGGTGTTGTTTTTATTTTTGTAATGCTGTCATTATTTTATTATTATGTTGATTATGATTATAATATATATTATGATGTGATATTATTGATCATTGTTATTATTATGATGTGTGTGTATGAGTACATGAATGTGTGTCTGTACAAGTGTGAGTGTACCTATGTAGATATATATGTATATATGTGTTTTTTTTTTTTTTTTTTCTTATTTATAAAAGGTATTTATTTACACCCTGATTCTTCAGCACTTTTGGTCTAAGGGCCTCAATCAGAACTAATTGAGAATTTTTACTAATTGAGCACCTTTTAAAGTTCAAGAGCATCACAAATCTCATGATTTAAAGCACATTTTATATAAATGATTTAAAGAATTCAAGAGTTTATTGGATGGAAGTTTTTTAATCTATGTGAACCGACCAGCAGATGCTGAAAAAATTGGTTGTGTATTTCTATACATACCGTCTAATAGATCTTAATCATGTATTCGTTCTCTCCTCTCTCTCTCTCTCTCCTCTCCTCTCTCTCTCTCCTCTCTCTCTCTCTCTCTCTCTCTCTTCTCTCTCTCCTCTCTCTCTCTCTCCTCCCTCCTCTCCTCTCTCTCTCTCCTCTCCTCTCCCTCCCTCTCTCCTCTCCTCTCTCCCTCCTCCCTCTCCCTCCCTCCCTCCCTCTCCCTCCCTCTCCCTCCTCTCCCTCCCTCTCTGCCCCCTCCTCTTTTGATCTCTTGCACTCTCGCTCTCTTGTATGTGCATATGCACACATACGATGTGTACATGTGCACACACACACACCACAACCACACACACACACACACACACCACACACACACACACACACACACACACACACACACACACACAATCACACAACACAATCACACACACACACAATCACAACACATCACACACATCACACACAACACACACACACAATCACACTCACACAATCACACACACACAATCACACAAACACAATCACACAAACACAATCATAATCGGAAACAATCACACACAATCACACACACTGTACACATGTACACACAGGCACAGGCACAGACACAGACACAGGCACATACATGTACACATGCACACGCACACACACATGCACACAGGTGTACACAGGCACACTCATGCACAGGTGTGCACAGACGTGTGGAATTCATGTTGAACAGATTGCAACAGGAACAACAAGGGAAGGGCAACAAACACACGAATATGCCGAAGGCCTTTTCACTATTGCTTCGTCAGGTCATATGCTACATGAGGTACATAGGAGTAATATACAACTACTGGGTGATCAGGTCACGTCGGTAATCAGGTGAGCGACGACCTTGGCTAGTTTATGGCTTCATACAACTAACAACATCAACACCGCTACGGGGACCATGAACTAGCCAAGGTCGTCGCTCACCTGATTACCGACGTGACCTGATCACCCAGTAGTTGTATATATACTCCAATGTACCTCATGTAGCATATGCCCTGACGAAGCAATAGTGAAAAGGACTTCGGCATATTCGTGTGTTTCTTGCCCTTCCCTTCGTTGTTCCTGTTGCAGTGTGCACAGACAAACTCTCACACTCATGGGAATGGATAAGGGAGGATGGGGAAGAAAATAAGATTTTCCTTCTTTTTTCTTCATATTACCATACCTGTTTTTGCTAACTTGCACCCAATGAAAGTTCCTCATCTGTGAAGGGTCCAGACAGATCTGTTTCTAGTAAATTTGTTTAAATATATATTTAGTGTAGTGAAATGTAAAGTAATGTGAATAAAGTTAGGCTTATGGGCTTTCAAGAAAAGGGTGCTTGAATACAGGCAAGTTAGTGTAGTGTATTAGTATATATAAAAGTCAGTGTACAGTGAAGTCCATGTATTTCTTAACATTATCTTTTGTACATGAATTAATGGGTGGGGTACAGAGCATCTGGTTTACTCATGTGGAGGGTTATTGCTGTTTATTATTATTATTATTATTTATTATTATTTTATTAATATGATATTATTATTATTATTAACCGTGCTTGAGTTAATTGGGCTGAGGTATTAATGTTCTACTTCAAGTTTTTATTATGATTAACAATTTTGTAATAGGGAGGGTATTTTTTTCTTATATTAAAGGAGTATTTTTTTGTACATTTCAACTAAACTTGTATAAGTTTATATGTGACAGATAATTCACTATAAACAAAAGTTTATTGGAAATTTTGATAATGAAGTTGACCTTAGAAGTCTTGTCTCCTATTCCAAAAACTTGTGTATGGATTTATTTTTGTTTATCAGTATGGTTTTACTATCATTTTACATCCACATGCACTCATACATACCAAACAAATTTTGTATTATGAAATGTTCATACAAAGGATTTGGGACTCTAAAATGTAATAACATGGTTTGAATAGTTATTTATTTATATTTTTGACACAGCAGTGGGACTTGGTAGGGATATATATGATTATAGGGTGGTGAAACCAGTGGAACTGTACTGACTTTTATTTCTTTTTTTTTGTTGTTATATTTCAATTATTTTTATTTTATTTTATTTTATTTATATATTTTCTAGGGATCATCAGGAAACACAAAGTCTAGTGGTCCTTTTAATGTCATAGTTTGAGAGGACAAATCCCCCTAGAAATTACCTTTCTTACTTTTAGATTGAATCTTGCCGCGTGATTGTTGATGACCGTGGGAAAACTACTGGCGATGGTGTGGTAGTATTTTGTGATAAGAAGGGTGCCACAATAGCTTTGAAGAAGTGTCAAGAGGAGTGTTACTTCCTCACAAGGTATGAAATTTGTAGACCTGTACCGGCGTTTTGCTACCTGGTAAGATTTGTTTCCGTTTCCTCGTAAGTATAAAGATACATCACCTGCGGGTGAATCTTCAGTTTTTCCTCCTCCTCTCTGAAGGGGGAGTGTATTTAGAATTGAAATTGTTTATATTTGTATTTATTTGTATTTATTTTGTTTTTGAATTTGTTTACTTTTTATAGATTTTCATCATTGTTTTATTTTTATTTATTCATTCATTTTTTGTTAACTAACAAAATTATGCATGTATAATGAATTTTTGTTTATTTTTATTTGTTTATGATTTTTTATCTTCATTCTTGTACTCTTTTCTCTTTTTTATTTAATGTTATTTCAGTTACTTTATATATTGATATATTTCAGTGTTTTTTTGTTTTGTTTTTTTATCTCAATTACTATTTCTTTATATATGTACATAATTAAGTTTTTTTTTTATTATTGTTTATTTGAAGATTTTTTCATTTTTTAATATCTTGACCAAATAAAGCTTTTGGAGTGAAACAAGCTATTTTCAGGGGGGGAGGCAAGGTGCACTCATTGTAAGTAGAAGTTTATTATTGGGGTTAATTCTTTCTCGTTCAGTATGCTAATCTGTTCTTCTAAATTTCAGTTTTCAGTCAATGCTTCACATCCTTCTGGTCTATAATAGCCAGTAATTTTAGCCCACAGTTCTGTCCTACATGGTGAAGGAGTGTTCAATTAAAGAAACTCTAGCCATTAATTAAGCTCTTAACATTTGGGATCTTTTTTATCTTGTCACACTTGCTCTTATCATCAGCAGGACTAGAATATTCTTCCTGGGAAATTTTGTGGTAAATTGGCAATTTTAGTTTTTTGACGTTTAAAAATAGTGTTTATGCTATAAATGTGATGTTTTTTTTGTATTTTTTTTTTACTTATCTTTCAAGTTATCATAAGATGATGATGTAAGAGTTTCTTCAGAAAGATCTAATAAAGCTTTTGCTTTGAAGGGGTTTCAGATAGCTTTAGAGTACTTTTTCTTTTGTCTTGGGATGATGAATCTGTTGATTTTTGTTGTAGAAACAAATCATTTTAATCCTTTAATTCACCACCTGATCAGTTAGTGGGAACAGATAGCATTGGAGATTATTATGTTGTCAATCGGAAGGGTTTGGCTTAGGAAGATGTACAAACAACTTCAAGCTTTCCCTTGCAGATTTATCATATTCTCAGGGAAGGTGTAAAGTGAAGCAACCTTGTATGGGTAAAAATAGGGATGGGTGGGAAATATAAGGGAAATCTATAAAGGACAGGATGCGGCATTACTAAGTGTATTGCTTCAGTAGTCCTTACAATATATATACGTATATATATATGTATATATATATATATATATATATATATATATATATATATATATATAATTTTTATTTTTATTTCTTAACTACTTTTGTTCCAGGATATGGGATTTTACACAAGTTAAGTTGTAGCACATTCAACTGTTTTGACCCCAGCTTTAAAATCTATAATATCATGTGTTCACATAAGGCCATTTAGCACCACCTTCCTTGATTCAGAAAATAAGTCATTAAATGGGTTTCAATGATTTAAAATCCAATCCAAGCTAGTTCTTAGGATATCTTAGACTGGCCATCTGGGTTTTATAATTTTTGGAGGGATGAGGGTGAGGGAGTGGTGCTAGAGGCTCCTGTCAAAGCACTTGATATGAACATTATTGGCTCCTTGCAGGTAAAAAAGTTTTTTTTTTTTTTTTTTTCTTTCTTTTTTTTTAATTAAAGTTTAGAATTTTGTAATGGTGTTTTGCAGCAAGAAACAAAGGTATGGTCTGAAGGTCTTGGTATTGAGGATATAAGATAATTTTGTTTTTGTTACGTTTATTTTTATTAATTTTTTGTGGGAACAAAAAGTGATTTTAGATGTTAACCTCTATATATTTATATGTGAATTTTGAGGAATTTGGATGATATATTGATAAGGCTTCTCCACTTGAGAAAACAGGTTTTGTATGAATTTACTTTCAAGCAGAAAGTAATATTTCATGTTAAGGCCTTGTTTACAAGTGATATTTTTTAATTACAGTTACGGTAATTTATCTATTTTTCATATATATATTTTTATATTTGTTTTTAATACAACTGCTGTGTTTTTTTTTTCTCTTGGTTGTTGCCTTGAATTATAGGAGAGAAGCAGTGCAGTTTAGTCCTATTATTCAGGTGTTTAACAATTTCTAAGCAGTTCTCTCTCTGTCAGTTTCGTACGTGTGTGAATTAGTGGCAGCCGTGTATCATGGACTTGTAAATATTTACAAAGCAGAATAGCATTAGCTGCTCTGACTGGTAAGTCATTGTAAACAGTTTTTGAAGTCTTCCCCAAACATGTGATTTTCTAATTATTAGGGACAGCACCAGAATTACAATAAGTTAATTGAACCATTAAAGTTCCTTTTTTTTGTGTGTGTCTATGTATGAAACGGGGGGAGGGCACTGAGAAACAACAGGTCTTGATCTATAGAGGTATATATCTACTTAATAGATTTGTTTTTATATATTGATATGTATATGTATTTATTTATTTATTTAGATGTTTATGTATATAAAATACAGATATGCATATATTCATAGACATTTACATACATGTTTTGTATATATTTCTTTGTTAATCTTTTTTACCTATTCTATTTATAAAAAAGTGTTAGCTGCAGTTCAGGGTATAGAAACTATATCATCTATGAGAGGTCGTAATAATTGATTTATTGGCACAATATAAGCAGCAGCTGAGAGGTAAGGGATACCAGATTTGGCATGAGTATCCATACAAGCTCTGGTATTTTTCCTCTTGTCCAGATACGTAATATCTGAAGAATGGCAAAGGATATTTTGACCTGCTTTACCTTAGACACTTCTTATTTTACATGCATTATTAAAAAAAAAACTTGGGGGAGGGGGGTTTGTGGAAAGGTTGGTAAGACAATAATTTACTGACATTTTGCTCTAGTTTTGCTTGGTGAACTTTTTACCAACTGTGCAAACAGTTGATGGGGTGAAAAAATTAACCCAATGCTTCTAGGAACATGTAATGGTCACTGTAGTTTTTGTATTGTTACCCACTACCGCCGGTATATTTGAAGGCCGAAAGTAATAGTTTCAGGGCGCCTTCAAAATCAGCACGTGGGGCTGGCCTGGAATCTGCCCGCGTGCTGGCCGTGGCCCGCAATGGAATCAGAGCACAAACTCCGATCCAGCGTCACACCGGCGGAACGCCCGGCAATATTTATTTATCTGGGTGTCTCATGTGTGGGAAACCCAAATGGGTTAAGTATGTTTATACCAATGACTCAGAATGTGCTCAGCCATTAGGGAGTCAATAAGTTGCAGGACCTCACCTGATTGTCCCTTGCTATGAGTGCCTGGGATTTTTTATTTTTTTGATGCAATAGATATAAATGCTGTCATTATTATTGACATTATGATAAGTATAATGTTATTATGACTCAAGTAGACGTCACACAGTGGGAGAAAGGTAGATATACATATATGATTTTTTTATTCCTGAGTGTCATTGGTTTGAATTTCGATTCATCTTAATTTATTATGACTTTTTTTGGTGGGGAAGGGGGGGAGGAGGCCAAGTTTCGTGTTTAGTGTTTTGCAGTTTTTTAAAGAGGTGTCAAGAATTGGGTAATGTCCATGATATGAAACTTGATGGGTGACTGACTTGATTATATTTGAAACATTTAACCCTCTAGCGACAGTGCATTTCAAGCTGAAAATATTTTCTGGGCAGCTTCAAAATTATCTCGCAGGCGAGTTCGGGAACCTGTCTGCGCGCTGCCCGCCACGGGCGGCAAAAATCAGAGCACAAGCTCCGATGTAGCACCGCACTGGCAGGACGCCTGGTAACGTTTACTTTTTCCAGGTTTCTCATATGTGTGACACCCGTTGTAAGTGGGTTAAATGTATACATATATATTTTTTTTTATGGCTATAATTGATAGAAGTGGGGTTTGACAATGATCTTAACAAGGTAAAGAATGATTTTGTTGATTTTGAAATACCTCATTTGCCTAAATGTTCATATTTCTGTCAATGAAAATTACACACCGACTTATTTGAGGAAGTATAGGAGGTAAATAGTCTAAAAGTAGTTAAATCATAATTTATGGCTTATTAGGTAAAATCTGTGTAAAAAAAAATTAAAAATAGTGTAAATGCTGGGGATTATGCCATGAAATGCATTGCTTCTTAATGCTGGTAGTTTACACAATTGATTTTATTTATATATATATATATATAATATATATATATATATATATATATATATATATATATATATATATATATATATTAAAGGATACCACATGTTTGGTGTGTTTCGCAATTTTTGATGATT